TCTAGGGTTAGACGACTATGCGCCATCTGGCGAGTTTAGGTTAGATGTGTGAATGAGGGCCTATAGTGGTCGAGGCGACCGAACCCTTGCTATAGGTAGCGTTCCTAGATGAAACTCGGGATGAAAGCTCGGCGTGGATGGTGGATAGTGTCCATTGAAATGAGTCATAAGCTTAATGCCTCAGATACAATAGCCTAGATCGAGATGACGGGAACATGGTTTTAGGGAGGCGTATTCGGAGGCGTGTGGATAACCGCGAAAGGCCACGGAAAAGAGCTCACTCACCACATTCGATGACGCTAAGTATCTAGATATACATAATAACCCTAAGCTAAGGGGAGAGATAGTTCCACGAAGTACCTGCTATTAGCTTTGATCAATCTCTAGACTAGTGTTTCTCATATCCTCCACTAAAAACCTCAAAAATCGATTAACTAATTAGCAACTAGGTGGGAAGTAGGCTAGGGTACCAGGACTCGAGTAGAATACCACCTTGATTACCACTATAAGGCAATGTCGTTCTATGTTAAACTTGGCCTAGGATGGGATAATTGTTTATACATGCTAACCTCTGATAATAACCTGCACGTATTCAAGTGACCACTAGACCATCCCCTTGTTCGCTCATCTTAGCAAGATTTTAGCAAATTTCTTTTTACTTTTACGCATATCTATACTCTTGTCAATGAGAGTTTTTGTTCTCTCTTTTGAATTGCATGCCAAAATTGTGCACTTTTTAGAGCATTGCTTTGTACTTCTGTACATAGCTACTATGATCAAGCAAGAGAAATTTCTACGACTTAGCACTTGCACAAGGGTTTCGCTTAACTCCTTATTCTTGAAGTGTATGGAGAGGCAATGCTATAGAGAGGTGTTGGAAGCGTCGTGTCCGCTAAGAATAATTCTCAAATGAAACTTCACTTGGCGGGGATCTTACTCAATAAGAAGTTCGTACGACTGCGAATTGATGCTCGTTTGAACATTTTTCATCCCCCCTATGCAATGAGTTATTGCCTAACAATTTATTTGTTATGACAGTTTTTTATTTATTTTACTTGTTAGGTGGGATTTTCGTGTGTATATATAGATACAATTCACCCAATGAAATCTTTTTTAAGTAGAGAAACACAGTGAAAGAGTTTAAGAACTCATGAATGATAATGACATGAACTGTATCGAAATGAGGATATCCTTCATAGTCAGTAACTATCCTTCATAGATCATGTCTTAATGTGGGGACTAGTAATTCAAAGTAAGATGAGATTGGAATTGCGAAGGGGAGTGTTGCATTATTGAAAATTCTATTTTTTTTTGCATGATGCACACACAAAATGTCTCCAAAATGCATAGTTAAAATATCTAGCGCAGTCTACTAAACCCACCCCACACTTTAAGTTGGATAATGTCTTCATTGGCCCAAGCAAAACAATAGAGAAAAAAGAACAAATCTACCTCGACTGTTACTAGAATCCATGCAAACTTACTAGATTATCTTGATTCTTGGTAATTTTTATTGGAAAGAAATAAAATAGTAAACGAAGAGAGCAAGTGAATCATCTCTTCACATAAAACAACACCGTTAAAAGAATGGTTAACGAGATTCATATGCTCATAATTCGAGTAGCTTGGCCTAGCCATGATAGAGGTTGTGGCTCATAGAACATAATTTCCCGAAACCATATACCAAAATTCAAATGCGAGTTTATGCAAACCATAGGCACATAAAAATTATGTTGTCGATGAGACATGCACGTTTGGGCCCTATCATCGTCCAACCCTGCAATGCTATTTATGATGAGCAAAACATCGATGAATGAAGGCCCAAAAGAGTTTGATTCCTCCCTCTTGGTTGGTTTCGATCTAGATTAGGTGAGTCGTTCTGTCGGAGAGTAAAGGCCCTTCCTTGACCCCTTGTTGCCTCCTTCCTATTTCTATATCTAGAGGGATATGAGTTTTTTCCAGAAATAGCACCTTAAAAAAAATTACAAAACTAGCACTCTTCCAAAAATATTTACAAAACTAGCACCCTTTTTTATTGACCGCACCCTTGTGGTGCGTTTTAAAAATAAACCGCATCCTGCAGGTGCGTTTTATATGTAAACCGCACCTGGAGGGTGCGTTCCATTCTGGTGGGCCTAAAACGCACTTTGGCCATGCGTTTTCAGGTCTGGCCTACATAAAACACAAGGCCGAGGTGCGGTTTAGGCCTGCCCTACACAAACCGCACCTTAGTGATGCGTTTTATTCCTCCAAGAACAAACCGCATCGCTAAGGTGCGGTTTGCCCATGTAGAACGCACCCCCCAAGTGCGGTCTACATGTCAATAATTTTCCGACACCCGACACAGCCATGCAGAGAATTATGGACGTAGGGCTGCATGGCAGACTAAAACCGCACCCTAGAGGTGCGGTTTTCATCATTTTTTCCCCTATATAAGACTTGCCGGAAAACCTCTACTCTTCTCGCCTCTCATTCTCTCTTTCATTTTTCTGTTGTATGTCTATATTTATTTAGTGTGTTTGCCATTAACATTAACTCGTAAGTTTATTTTGTGTTACTTTTTATTGTTATTTGTGATTTGTGATTTTTATGAGATTAACTGAACTACGGTTTTTGTGTGTGCAGATGGCATTCCGTCAGTTCACGCTTGGCTTACGGTGGAATGGTTACACGGAAGAGACCGGAAAGGGGGCCACCTACGTCGGTGGCAATTTTCAGAAATTAACGGTCGGTACCAGAACGAAGTTTGAAGACCTCCATCAAATATGCACTGACGTTACTTGCATGGATGGCACGAGAAGAGTAGATCGTATGGTGTACCGATATCCAAACAGAGAAAGTGGGTCATTGTGGCATGAGGAATATACCATAACCACTCAAGATGACGTCGATTCCATGCTCGAATTCTTGAGGACCAACAAATTGGCCAAAGCCGAGATGTTCGTTTACACCGAGCCAGCCGTTGGTGTTGGAGGTCATTCTGGACACGGTCAAACATCTGGTATCCATGGTGGAGGTGAATTATATGGCGATCATCCCTACCAAAGTTACCATGATCCTCATTCCTATTTTCAGTACCAAGATGGAGGGCAAGGTGCAGGCCATCATCAATCGGACGTCCCCAACCAACCCCAGTACAACTTCCAATCAGGCAGCGGTAGTTTTCACAACTACCATTATGGAGCTGATGAAGGTGCCTTTCATGAGCTGGATCATATGGAGGCTGCCACACCAGCACCAGTCAGCGACCCCTCTGATGAAGAAGGAGAGAACAACGTCAGTGCAGACAGCTCAGACCCTCTTGAAGGTGCTGATGATTCAGCACCAGATTCAGATTCAGATAATGATCATGATGTGGCTCCTGACCGTGTACCAGTCCCCTACTACACTCACATTCCAGACGACAATTGGATGGTCGACAGCGACATGGAGCCGCCAGAGGTCCCAATATGGGGCCCACTCACTGGGTTTACGAAGGGCCAACAATTTGGCTCGAAGAAGGAGGTGCGGCACGCCCTTGAGACTGAAGCAATGACTCGGCATTTTAAATGGCACACAACTCATTCCAACACCAAAAGGCTCATAGTCAGATGTCGTAATCATCACGAGGGGTGCAATGTTAGGATTCGGGCCATCAACAGCAAGAGACACGGCAACTGGGTCATATCCCGTGCGGTCAACACACACATGTGTGTCATCCATAACTTCCCAAGGCGGGGACATCGATTGCCTTAAACGCCATGGTATTGGTGAAGATTTGCTGTCTACATGAACAGATGACCCAACCTTTTAACAAAACACAATGTCAACGGCTTCACAAAACCATACAGTCGCTAAAATGGAGAGGGACTTCGGGTGACTTGTTCTAGCTCTTGGACATGCTTCTGAAGACAAACTTTGCTGAACCACGATGCTATTTTCTTTAATTTCTTCTTCCTTAATGCTAGACAAGTGTCCCACCAAAAGTTTACTTCCATTCAATCGGTAGCCAAAGATAATTAACCAAACCACGAAACAAAGCAAAGGAGGAAAACCTTATCCTTCCTTGCAACGTGGTCCACTTAACAACAACATAACCTTTGGTGACTTATGACTAACATCGGCTTCAGATGAGACACGATGACGTTGAGAAGATGAATACCACGCCACCGATCGGCTATGCTGTAGGAAGCCCCTTGACGGAATGAGATGATGATGATGTCCAAACTGAACTGCGAACCGACAGCTCGAAGTGGACTTGATTCTGACGAGGACAGAAGGCCTGGAGCTGCAGGCGATGGCGAGAGCAGAGGACAGATAGGGACATCGATATCCCCGGGGATGTTGTTGTTAAGTGGGCCACGTTGCAAGGAAGGATAAGGTTTTCCTCCTTTGCTTTGTTTCGTGGTTTGGTTAATTATCTTTGGCTACCGATTGAATGGAAGTAAACTTTTGGTGGGACACTTGTCTAGCATTAGGGAAGAAGAAATTAAAGAAAATAGCATCGTGGTTCAGCAAAGTTTGTCTTCAGAAGCATGTCCAAGAGCTAGAACAAGTCACCCGAAGTCCCTCTCCATTTTAGCGACTGTATGGTTTTGTGAAGCCGTTGACATTGTGTTTTGTTAAAAGGTTGGGTCATCTGTTCATGTAGACAGCAAATCTTCACCAATACCATGGCGTTGAAGACAATCGGTGGTCGTAGCTAGTGTTGGGGAGACATGACAACTTTTTTCAAACAAAGAAGTTCAAGTTATCAAGCCTGGAAGTCACGATCAAAGAAGCGATCATCCCCTCTGCGTTCAGCATCAGTCAATTTTGATTCATCATCATTCGAACTTTCAAGCTGGACATTCACGTCGTTCATGCTCCAGCTTGAGGGGGAGAATAGGGAATCATCACACGTGGGTCGACTAGTTCAGTCATCAAGTCGACCATGTCTATTGATCAGTCAGGTTGCTCGAAGAAGCACAATCAGCAGTGCAGTTAGAAGTCTCCAAAGTCAGCAACGCAGTCATCAGTCTCCAGTCTCATCCAAGACATCAAGGTAATTCCGCCATGTGGAGTTCACTATTGTTGAACTAGGTCAAACATGAAGTCGGATCAGTCTCATCCAAGACGTCAAGGAATTTCACCATGCTGAGTTCACTATCAAAAGAACTGGGTCAAGCATGGAGTAGTTTCATCATTTGTCTACATCTCCCACAAGCTAGTTCACTATCAAAAGAACTAGGTCAAACAAAGAGTGTAATTCTTCCCATTTTGGTTGATAAACCCTCGCCGGCCGCCCCATTTCCTCCCACCTTTCTGAAATATTTGAGACCGGTTGGGCTTCCAAACATACATCGGAATGACAAGCTAGGAAGAGCACGAGGATCCCTGTGGCTGCGTGAGGCGGAGATGACGGTCGGCGGCGGCGGTGGTACTGTGGTTGGAATGGAGGAGGAAGTCTGCAAACCAGTTGGCAGAGTGCTTCGGGACACGTCTCATCCCATTCTGATAATCAACATAGTGAAGCCCAAACCTAACCGCGTAGCCATTACACCACTCGTAGTTGTCAAGAAACGACCACGCAAAATACCCTCTTACGTTTGCCCCGTCCTCGCTGCATGAATAAAAAACCCAGAATGCCAAACGAACAGTGAAAACAGAGCAGAGATGGATTCAGTGAGATGAACGAAATGTGTATATAGGTATGCTAACGTAGCTACTAGCTAGCCATTCCACACTCACTTGATGGCTTTCTGAAGTTGGAGAAGATGGGTCTTGATGTATTGTGTTCGCTTAGGATCATGGAGGGATTCTTCCACTGTAATTCCCTCTGCCTCTTCGTCAAGCCCTGCAGCCAGAAAGTTGATATACGTTAATGCAATTTGACATCAGGATTGACATCTCCATGCTTCTGTGTTGTAAATTTACAGTACCATTTTCGGTTATATACATAGGTGGATTGTTGTATTTGCTTTTGACATGGTTCATAACGTCCCGAATTCCTTGTGGATACACGTTCAGCCAAAACAATGCACCCTGCATTCCACAATTTCTCTTAAATACCATCACATCATAGTAACTTCAAATTTTTGCTTGTAATGATGCAATTAGAATTAGAAGCACACTACTAACAACAGTACTCACATGAGGTCCAATCGGAATACCATCTTTCTCAGCTGCAATTTTTGAGAAGAGAGAAGTTTGTTAACATCGAATTGAAATGCAAGAGACTGAGAATTGATGCCAAATACTTACACTTCCATTCGGTAAGGGAATCCGTCTGGTATCTAAGCCTATTTTGGTCGGCCATCTTGCTTTCCATAGCATAAAATGAAGAATAGTAGTTAACCCCAACAAAATCATAGGATCCAATCAACCTCAACGATTGTTCCTCGGTGAAATTTGGCAGTCTCTCCCCAACGTTAGCTTCCATGGACTTGGGATACCTCCCAAAGGTTATGGGTTCCATATGCCTTTTGCCAACAAATGAAAAATGAGAACACATGGAAACTGAGATAATTAAAGTACAATCAGAAATGGACTCACGCTCACTCACCAGCCAAAGACGAAATCGACAGCTCTTTCTGCCGCCGCCTTATCGACTGTGGAGTTGGAGTAAGGCAACATCCAGAAACAATTCAACACTATCCCGATCTCCCCATTTTGGCGCTTCTGAAATTTTTGGCGGTAAAGGTTGACGGCAGAGGCATGAGAAAGGAGGACATGGTGGGAAACAATGTAAGGTTCAGTAGCAGAGTCTCCGGCCTGGCATGCCGGGTTGACCCAGTCGGAGCATCGACCCGGGGCGAAAATCCCCTGTTCGTATCCGAAGATGCTGATCGTCCATGGCTCGTTGATTGTGATCCACTTCTTCACTTTCCCACCGTACTCTCTGAAACACAGCTCTGCGAATTCTTTGTAATCGTCACTGGCCACGAAAAATGTATACAAGGCAATGTGTTGGTAAATGTCACATGTACTGATCAATGATGAATGATCATACTCTTACTAACACATTCTTGCAAGAATTAGTGTTTGTTTTTTCACTTCACGTACACAATGCGCGGGCTTAAGAAGCCACCGTACTCTTCTTCCAGAGCTTGGGGAAGATCAAAGTGATAGATTGTTACAAAAGGCTCAATACCTGCATTCATCACTAGATATTGTTAGCTCTTACAGTCATAATTTTCGGAAATTACGACTTTGATAGAGAGAAGTGTTACGAACCGTTTGAAAGAAGCTCGTCGATAAGGTTGTGATAGAACATGATCCCTTTCTCATTCACTCCTCCACTAATCCTTCCAGCTGTGGAAATAATAAAAATAATTTGAAAACTTTTATTAGCAATATGGTGGCAGGGAAACTTTGATGAATACTGAGAGCAAAATGAGAATGGAAAACAGGGGAAACAGAGTAATTACTTATCTACATACTTGGTAATATTCTAGACCATGAGATGGAGATTCTGAATCCGTTCATATTCACATCCTTTATGAGTTTGATGTCTTCCTGGTACGATGGATGGATGGTCATGCCAAAGTTGTTAATTGGGTATTTAACTTATAATGATTAATTAACTAGAATTACCTTATAGCGATAATAGAAATCCACTCCTCTGTCGCCATTGTTGCCGTCATCTATCCTTCCTGTCCTTGGCCAATTGCCAACAAAAGATAGTGACAGTAATTAAATAGGAGAAATTAATCGAGTGGTTAATTACTTAATTACACAGAGATTAATAAAGTACGTACCTGGGTATTTGTTAGTGAAAACATCCCAGATACTTGGGCCCCTCCCGTCAACATTTGCTGCTCCTTCGTACTGGTAGGCACTTGAGCCAGCTCCGAAGACGAAGCCCGCCGGGAAACTGCTGCGGTTGACATTCCCATCTTCCTCCGCCGATACCGGGAAATGCCGGTGACAATGATTGGAAGGAATGATGGCTAATAGGAGGACCAAGCGGCCCAAAACAAGGCCAAGACGGCGGCCGGCGGCGGCCGGAGGAAGTAGTAGTAGTTGTTCCATTTTGGGGGAGTGCAGCTGTGCAACCACCACTTGGAGAAGCAAGATGATGGATTGCAGTTTAGTAGGGCCGTTCCTTTCTTTTTCATCTGACATGCATATGCTTCATTATTAGTTAGTTCACTTTTAAATTCCGATACGTGGACGCCATGTGAAAGATTTTTTTTTAGGGTAAATACAATTTAATATCCAAACCTTTTATTTTAAACAATATAATAGCCAAACCTTTTCGAAAACAATTTAATATCCAAATCATCAACTTTCCGTCCGTTTGACCATTAGTTGACACTTCATCAAGTTCGAAGTACGACACTTCATCAATATCCATCGATATCTTCTCTGAAAAACCACCAACATATCGTCGTTCCAAACCCGAGAAGTCCATGACTCCGTCATGATGGTATAGAATATCTAAATATTTAGTCATCTGCAATGCCAAAACAAGAAAACAAAGCTGTATTGTGACAATTTCCCCTAAACAAAGCTTTTTTGAAGTGTCAACTAACGGTCAAACGGACGGAAAGTACTTGACGATTTGGATATTAGATTGTTTTCGAAAAAGTTTGACTATTATATTGTTTAAAATGAAAGATTTGGATATTAAATTGTATTTACCCTTTTTTTACTACTACATCACTACTATTGTTTACTATGTTGTAATATCTTTTAGATATTAAGATACAAATTATAAGTAATTAATTATATTGGACTTGGAGTCACATTATCGTTACTTTTCTTTATAATTGTTCGACGGACTAATGAAGTAACGGATACAATTATCGCCCTAACTTTGGATATTGATCGCAATGACGGAAATCGCAATGACGGAAATGGCAGGATAAAAACTTCCACCCATGGGATTGAGAATATATACGTGATAATTAAACGGAAAAAAGAATATATATGTGATATCAAATTGAAGATGGTTGGCAATCCGTCAGGATAAAAACTTCCACGCATGGGATTGAGAATATATACGTGATAATTAAACGGAAAAAAGAATATATATGTGATATCAAATTGAAGATGGTTGGCAAAAAAAAAAAATATATATTGAAGATTGGGCTGGAGTTGTATTTCACCCCAAAACCCACCTTATTATCATCTTTACAAAACTATGTGAATAATTTTATGATGGCTAAATTGTAAGTTTAGTCACTTGAATTACTAGTAAATCTTACGTTAGCCACTAGAATTACTTTATTCCATTCGTAGTTATTTAAATTGGGTTAACAGTCCAAGTTTGGTCACTGGCCGTTAGTCTCCGTTAACTTTTGATGATGTGGCGGTCAACTTATCGTTGACCGTTAAGTGAGTGACGTGGCAATTAAAAAATAAATAATTTAATTTAAAAAAAAAATCACCTCATTACTACAATAATTTTCACCTCATTTTCAAAATGATTGGAGGAAAATAAAGTTTTTTTCCCCTCATTTTGACATGTTACTGAAAGGTGTCTACGTGAAAGAAGAAATTATACTAGTGTCGTTTGCTTCATGGAATTGAAAATGAGACTTTTGTAATTTAAAAATCCAAGGATTTATCAAGTATTTGAGTCATTATAGATTTGTAACAATCCTTTGTTTGTTGAGATGTTTTATCGTAAATTTAGGGGTTTGGTATTTAGAACTTAAAGTCCAAAATTATCATACTATCCTTCTTCTATGTGTTTGTCATGTTTAAGATATGTACACAAAACAAGGACAATCCATACTAATTAGCATAATGTTGCCACAAGGACAATAACAATAAACGGGAAAAATTACGTTCAACTTTTAACGTAACATATATCGGTTACCAATTCTTTGTCCTCATTTTCAAAAATAACATACAGGAACATATATTAGATACGGGGAACAAAGTATTACACGTTCCATGACAATGTCAAAGGAAACTAGAACACAAGAAAGGATATAAAAAATCTAACTCATATTTACACATTAATTGATTATTTATATTATGTCTGATCTCTCTCGTGTGAAGAGCGGATCGACATCCTCCAATGACAAGCTATTTTTGCCGGCAATAAAAGAATCCACAAAATTCTCATATGAACTCGACAAAGAAACAAGCAGGATTAGGGCAACATGTTTGTAATAAATCTAAACATTTATATTGCACAAATCCAAAAAAATAGAATTAACTTGTTCCAGATGTTCCCTCAAAGGCGTACCTTCTTGCATCCTCAAGCTGAACAACTGTTGCTTGAGATGCAGCTTGTTGGTTAGAGACTTAGTTATGTACAAACTCTCTAGCTTCAACCACAAGCCCGTGGCAGTCTTCCCAGCAACGACTTTAATGATGACGTCATTAGACAGCGATTGTATGATGGTCGAGTGGGCCTTCTCCTCCAGGGTATTCCACTCATCGTCATCGACCGCTGCCTTCTTCTGTTTCGCAGACAGTGGCACCCCACAGCCCTTGTTGTTTCAATAAAGCCTGCATCTTGATGTGCCATATAGCGAAACTTTTCTTCCCCGTGAACTTCTCGATCTTCATGTTTACCGACATCATTCTTCAGAATCGAAACCCTAGCCTGATTTCCAACACGACGCTCTAATACACTTGTCACAACTATTTTCTGTGGATCGGGAAATCAGAGGATTCGACAAAGCAAGAAATAACGAAAACAAAAAGCACACGACACACGATTTACGTGGTTCACTAACACAATGTGTGTTAGCTAGTCCACGGACATGAGAGAGCGAGTTTCACTATATTTCGAGGAGATACAAATTACAGGCGAGTATGAGAAGTACTTTTAATACTTCTCCTAGATCTAATCCTAATCCAATCTCGTAAAGGAAAAGCGGTTACAACCGGGCTCAGAACCCGCACCCAAATAACATTGAGCACATACACAGCGAGACCCCCGTGACTTCCAGTCATAGTGGTTGATAGTCTGATTCAAGTCACATCAACAGAGGGAGACATGTGGGTTACTTTTCTCTTTCTCTTTCTCGGTTTGGAACTCGAAAACTCGGTTCAGTCGACAAGATCTTGATTTCCGAATTAGAACAATTTCCCTTCCGAATTCGAACTGAACAACAATATTTCATGTTCGATTCGGACAAATCTCGGTTCGGTTCGAATTGGGTTTACCGAACCGGATTCCCACCCTTCGTTGTCATCATGATAAAGATCAGTTGTCGCGCGCGAAAGAAGGTAAGAATCGCGTGGGGGATATGTGGGTTGGAATTTATGCTCCTTTATCAATTCTAGAGTTCGATTCGATGACAATGCAAAATTGTGAGTTCTGAAATCTGATAAGGTTTAGATGAACCCAAAGTGTTTGAACTATGCGTAGTAATTTGTTTCCTATTTTTCTATTTGTACATCCTATTTTTCTAGTTCATAAATCTCTTTGCTCCGGGACCTTCTGGCTCGAGAGTGGGAAATTTTCATATACCACGTCTACAGAGAAGGCACTGTTTGTTTGTGCTGATTTTCTGCCCAATCGGGGCCATAATTTTCCCATAGGTCTCCGTTGTATTACTAGAATGAGCATGGTTTAAATCGTTGGTTATTGTCTGATTGATTGATTGATTGTCAGAGAATTTCACAGATGAAATTGATTATGGATGAAAGTTAGGATGGTAGATTGCACTTACATCCGGTTATAATAAACTTGTGAATGATTGAGGTTTTGTTTGTCTTGACTCTTTGATATAAATCCAAACTCACCTGCATGCGGCAAACACGAATAGGACACGTGAAAGTAGTTGAAGATACCAGCCTACCAACCAAGAAGTAGTTGAGATTAATTAACGAAAAGAATAGGCAGGGCATCTTACCCTTAACTTTTTATTTCTTGGGCGGAATCCGCAGAATAGCTGGCCCCTCTGTCTCTGACCTATTTCAAAATCCCTCGCTAAGTCACTATCCTCTTTTTTGTTCCAAGTTTGTAGCTGTTATTTTTTTAACCATTTGTATGAGCATTTCTACTATGCTATATAGTATTGGTGCTTTAATGTACAATTTAAAGTTGTAACATAATATTAAGGAAATTCCTACAATGCCTTGAAGTAAGGTAACTTGATTTTTTTTACCTGCTATAGCAGGTTTCACAGGTTGTATTACGTAAAACACAACAGGTGTTACGTAATGATTACGTAACGTATGTGCATCTTCCGTAACAGTTATAAAATCTCATTACGGAAGCCTTACGTAATGAAGGGTTCTTTTAGGTAATGAATATTTATCTCGCGTTACGTAAAGTAATAAGTCATTACGGAAGTCTTACGTAATGCTTCTAATTTAACTATTACGTAAGAAATAACTGTCATTACGGAAGCCTTACGTAATTGAGGCTTCTTTTACGTAACGAATATTAACCTTGTGTTACGTAAAGAGTGAAGGTATTACGGAAGCCTTACGTAACTGAGGCTTCTTTTACGTAATGAATATTAATCTTGCGTTACGTAAAGTGTGAAGGTATTACGGAAGCCTTCCGTAACGCTTCTGATTTAACTGTTACGTAAGAAACAACTGTCATTACGGAAGCCTTACGTAATGGATGTGTATTTTACGTAACAGTTCTAAAATGTCATTACGGAAGCCTTACGTAATTGAGGCTTCTTTTACGTAATGAATATTAACCTTGCGTTACGTAAAGTGTGAAGGTATTACGGAAGCCTTCCGTAACAGTTCTGATTTAACTGTTACGTAAGAAACAACTGTCATTACGGAAGCCTTACGTAATGGATTTGTATTTTACGTAACAGTTCTAAAATTTCATTACGGAAGCTTTACGTAATTGAGACTTCTTTTACGTAATGAATATTAGCATTGCATTACGTAAAGTGTGAAGGTATTACGGAAGGCTTCCGTAACGCTTCTGATTTAACTGTTACGTAAGAAACAACTGTCTTACGGAAGCCTTACGTAATGGATGTGTATTTTACGTAACTGTTCTAAAATGTCATTACGGAAACCTTACGTAATTGAGACTTCTATTATGTAATGAATATTAGCATTGCTGAAAAAATAGTATAAATTATTGAGGCTTCTGAAATGAGTATAAAATAACTAGAGGTATAAAATAGTGCGTGCAGTATAGCATCAATCTACTAATATAGGCTAGCGGATGAGTTGCTATATAATTATGAATTGGGCATGGTTCAATTCCCAACTGAAGCATATTTTACTCAATTTCATATTGATATAATTTTTTTTTTTTGCAAATATTAGGTAATTAAAAGTACGGGTGGCTATATGTTCCGGGCCGATTAAATTGGTTAGAATTAATCCAGTCCGATCCATTGGATATAGTCCGGTCTTGACCCGGTCTGGCTCCAGTTCGGTCTTGATTTTAGATTGACCTTGTGGAGATTTGAGTGGCCTAAGGCCTCAAAGGGTAAGGAGTTGGTTAAGTTTTGGGTGTTGGGTTCTCTTATCCGGTTTTCAATCCGATCCCAAACGGGGTTTTTTTCTCAAATCTAAGTCCAAAAATGGGATTAGATTGTTTGCTATCCGGGTCTGGTCCGGTCCCGGTTATATGGTCCAGTTTCGGGTAAAACCAAAAAGCCCAGATTAAATAGCCAGCCCTGCTTAAAAGGACATTATAGAAACATTATGTAATAGCCAGTTCATAATGTGTTTTGAATTTGAGTGATTGGTTATGTTTCACTAATTAATCGACTTTTTAGTTAGTCATATTACAAGAAACCACTGCAATGAATCAATTTAATTTCTCTGTCGTTTCTTAATTCAATATTATGAAATGTATATTTTTAGTGAAAATTTTATATGGGATATAGTATGACACCCTTTTTCTATTTAACTTTGTTGTTATGTATTGAAATATGATTTTCTGTCGTCGACTGGAAGTTGTTCCAACCGTACCTCCCAAATTGGGGGATCCATCGCGTCACGCTCAGAGTCGCCATCGACCATATTTGGGTCGAACACTATTTTGGTCTGGTTCCAACCTTAGGGTCAGAACCGGGATTTGGTCTGCGAAATTTAGATCTCTCTAGGTTCGGGAGTACGGTTACGTGTGGGGAAGTGTATTCACACCCCACGACACCCCAAATGGGTACTACTTAAATCGATAAGCTTTTTAAGGTTAGGTGTATTATAATTTGCACCGTATTTGTGTATTTAATTATATGATTCGAATAGTTAGGTATTTATTTTTATGAGTTGATCATACGTCTATTGACATAATTCTCAAAATTAAAGAAAGAGTTTTGTGTTAGTTGGACTCGAACGTATTAGTTGCCTACGTACCCGAGTAATCGGGATCAAAGTCCACGTAGTTCGATTAAAATTGAGAGATTTTAATGAATGATCCTAAACACGTTATATTGATTGTGATAAAGATAATTTGAGTTTTTAGGAAATGTATTTATGAATTTTCAATTTAGCGATTGAATGTTAGATTGTCTTTGCAAGAAATTCATCGAGAATGACCGTCATTGCCTATTGACCATGATTAAATATTAGGAAAATCTCTAAGTAAAATGAATATGTGTATGTAAAATTAAAGCCAAATTTAATCAAAGCTTTAAAATTGAGATACCGAGAAGTAATCGTAACTTAGCCAATGCAAAAGTATTGACACGATTGGTCGATATAAATTTTGCGTATTAAGATTACCATAAAGTAATTAGTATCGAAAGAGATAAAGTTTCAAGAAAATTTCGTAGTCCTAGTGGTTTGGTGCTTTGATAAGTGTTCGTGGGTTTAGGTCTCGGGTTCGAGTAAGCCTAGAGACATTTTTTTTTTATTTTCTTGCAGAGATCAAACGGGCATTTTAGTAAAATGGGTACGGGATATAAAAACCTCTCTTACAGACTAAACGAAAACCCTAACCTATTGTGAAAATCGGCGCCGCTCAGCCTCTCCTTCCCTCTCTCGATTTCGACTGTTCATCTGAAAAATGGAAGTGAGAAACAGAAAATCCAATCCGTTCTCCCTCTCAATCGACTAAAATCGCCCTCCACCGGCGAGATTGAAGACGCCCGGCGATATTGAAGTCGCCCGTAACTCCACTAGACTCGGCCTGCCCTGCTCCAGTCGTTCGATTTAGCGGAGACGTCCGTTCCTCCACAAGACGCGGCCTGCCCCTGCTCCAATCGTTCGATTCTTAATCGTCCGTGCCTCCACCCTCTCCTTCAGCTCAACTGCGTTGGGTTCCCCTCTACCTCTCCGATGGCAGAATCAGAGAAAGCGGATGTTGAGAATCCTCTAGAAACCGACGAAGGTACGAAGGCCGCTGTCTCTATGCCTTCTGATGAAGCAATATTAGGCATGGTTTTTGATACCTTGGAAGGAGCTGAATTGTTTTACAATGCTTATGCAAAACAAATTGGTTTTAGCATTCGCAAACGAGATTCGCGACAGTCACGTAGTGGACAAATGCTAATGCAGAAATGGGTGTGCTCAAAGGAGGGTTATCGTCAAAAAAAATGGATAAACTATGCTGCTCGTATACGCAAGCCTCGACGATTGACTAGGGGAGGTTGTGAAGCGATGATTCGTGTAAATCTGGATCGCGACACTGAAAAATGGGTTGTCAAGTCACTTGTATCGGCTCACAATCATAAGTTGGTGCCATCCAAGTATGTACATCTTCTGCGTTCCCATCGCGAAATCAAAGAAGGTGATGAAGCTTTGATTGAGTCGTTGAGTACAGTTGGAGTAAGTACACGGCATATTACTGAGATTTGCAAGGAACAACATGGAGGCTATCAGAATATGGGTTTCATTCCGAAAGATGTAGAGAATAAAGTCCAAGCCATTCGAATGAACAAGATTAAAGGTGGTGATGCAAATACTACCATCGGATACTTCGAGGGAAGGGTACAAGCAGATTCAAGCTTTAGTTTCGACTATACGTTGAAAGAGGGTAATAAACTTGGTAATAAGCTTTAGTTTTGTTCATTCCTCAATTGAACTATCTGTGCTGTAACATCCTGTTTCAAATAGAAATATAATAACAAATGTTAAATTTTTTTAAAAAAATATTACACAATTAATACGAATTGACATGTAAATAACTATTGAATGAAATTTTCACAAAATAAGATAAATAAAATGCTTCGTTTTCATCAATTTAATCCATGAAACACTATAACATAGAAAATTATTACTCCAACCTCAATTGTGAAGCAACTAGCACCATCCCTTCCAAATTCCACCTGCATACAAAGAAATTGCAGTAAATATTTCAATCGCTACATATATATTATTTAAAACATCAGGAGAAAACCTAGGTTTCACCTGTATGCTATCAACTCCACCCAAACTAGAAACCTTCTTAACAATCGTCCCAATTGACTTGTCATCCCAGTGGCGTATGCGTGGTAAGGAGCTTGAATGACGAGTCACATTATGCATATTTACGTGCTCTAGGTAAAAAATCTATAAACATAAGATAATCACATTAAATTTTAAATTCTGACAATGCAAACTCTTCTTATTTGGACTAAAACTTATAAGAAAAAAGTTACTACTAACGTACCTCAAGCAATAAAATGCAGCCCGTCACAGATTGTTCTCTTGATGTGCCTTCCAATTTGTTTTGATAGTCTTTTATTCCTTCTAAAAGACCATCGTACACAAATTTTGCCCAATTCAAGTTTCCCACGTCATCAATATTGCCTAATATCCTCAAATAATTATTGGGAACATAAACTGCAGTAGACGGTCTCAAAAGTCTACTCATTGAATATAAAAGAAATTTCCCTCTAAATTCATCACCGACCGTGAGATCTTTCATCATATCTGTTTTTAGATTTGAACATTTAATTTGTCCATAACCCAAATTAAACCTGACCCTCACTTCATCTCCCTCACCAAGATGAGTATCCACATTCATGCCTCCACCATGCAAACCCAATATGGTGACAACATCATCAACACGTAGGGTCAAACGATTACCATGCACGTTTAGTTGACTAGTAGTCACATCAAACCTCATCATAAGTTCCTCACAAAGTTTCAACTTCAACTTATGCTTCTTCAAATGCAATAGCCCTCCAAATCCCATATCTTCAATGACATGCTTTTTGTCGTCGGACAAACTATCTATAAGGCCAGAGAATTCTTGTACGCCACAACGACTGCTCAAATACACCTACATTATAATGTTTTCATTAAGATAATTTTTACCAACATCAAAATCTTAACCACATACAGTAATCTCAAAGAGACCGGTAATAGATGTAATGAATTACCTTTTCTTTTCTTTGTTGGTTTTCATCATTGAGTTCGGAGGAGACACCTTCATCGACCTTGCTCATCTTTAAAGTGGACAAGCAGAAACTACAGTTACAACTTGAATCAAACATGTACGACAATGAGTTAGAGCCCCAAAAAATTGGGTTGCCTTCAAAATGAATAAGGGAAGCAAAGCTACCAATTGTTTCAGAGGACACACGCAGGCACATGAAAGCTACCAATTGCTTATTAAAAAACAAATCAAAGCTATTACCATTTCTTTTTACAATAAAAGCAAAGCTACCAGCTGACCCTTTCTCAACTCGATCTCAACCGAGATCCCCAAACAAAAATAAAATAATAAAAATAAGCAGCCCATGACACAAGAGAATTAAACAGCTGTCATCTCACATCCTGCTCTGGAATTCATTTTCGAAAACCAATAACAATAAAGCGACGAAGAAACTAATGAAATGATCAAACAATTAAACAAAGGGAAAGGGTCGTAGTAGTTAGGGGGGAAGAACAGGTGGAGTGTGGGTGTGCTGGAAAAAGCGAAGCCAGAGAAACAAAAAACAGAGCTGGCTGGATTGGATTGGATTGAATTGGGAGATGGTTTGGTTTCTGCATAAAATTTGGAACCATGGCTGTCTGCAAAAAACAGGGAATTGAAGCTGAGATTGAGGATACCGACCTCTTCTTCTTCTTCTTCTGTGCGGAGGAAAGGTTTGTGGTTTGGGGAGGAAGACAGATCGAGTGACAGAAGGAGGAGAAAGTGGAACGAAAACCCTAAACTATTGTGAAAATCGGCGCCGCTCAGCCTCTCCTTCCCTCTCTCGATTTCGACTGTTCATCTGAAAAATGGAAGTGAGAAACAGAAATCCAATCCGTTCTCCCTCTCAATCGACTAAAATCGCCCTCCACCGGCGAGATTGAAGACGCCCGGCGATATTGAAGGCGCCCTGTAGAAACCGACACCACGGGTTCTCCAGCCGCAGCGAGAAGAAGTGTGAGGCGAACGTCGATTCAATGGAGGACGAAAATCAGAACTGAAATCGGACACTTGATTGAGATCGAAGATCAGAACTGAAATCGGAGAAGAAGGTTCTGGAGAAGTATGCGATTTATGGTACCGTACCGTCGATACGATCTTGGCTTCCGTGGCGCCGGAGATGATCCGGCAGAGGTCGTGTACCTGTCTGCACCGACGGTTCCGATCAGTCCTGTGGGGTGCCGGGTGTCGTCGTATAAGGGGGAGGCTGTGGTTGCGGCGGCAGACAAGGGATCCCGGCGGATTAAGCACTATTGGATTGGAAAACCTAATTTTAGGATAAACAAAATTCACCGACTCCTAATTGGCATGGGAACACGGTACGGTTGCATTCTCAGGCGAGATTTTCGGCGGCCAGCCGTAACCGGTACAGCCGGTTTCCCCATCAGCGTGTTTTTTTTTTTTTAATTCTCATCAATGGCTGTAATGTTCTATTTTCAATTTTAATGGCCCAGATTTGTGCAAGAAAAAAATAAGTTACCTAACTTACAAAAAACACAAGGTACTGTAGGAGGTCCCTAATATTAAATGTATAAGTTTAGGTTGTACCATAAAGCAATTTGTACCCTTATGTTATGGTATAACTTTACACTTCTACTATGCTATATAGTATTGGTGTTTTAATGTACAACTTAAAGTTGTACCATAACATTAAATGTATAAGTTTAGGTTGTACCATAAAGCAATTTGTACTCTTATGTTATGGTACAACTTTACAACTTAAAGTTGTATCATCATATAAAAGTACAAGTTTAAGTTGTACCATAAAGGAATTTGTACAAAAAGTATAGGTACAATCTGAAGTTGTATCATAACGTAAATGTACAATTTGAAGTTGTACCATAAAGGCAAAAACCTATAGCGCCAATACTATATAGCATTGTAAAATTTCTCCCATTTTTATTCGGTAAGATCAGCAAAATTCCAAAGTCGGGATGGCAATGAGCGGGTTTGGGGTGAGTTTGTCTAAACCATACACATCACTGCTTTCAAATATTCCAATCAATACCCGTCACATACTCATGCAGGGAAGGTTTTGCAAACCCATCCTCCATATTCGTGGGTTTCGGGAACCAATGAGTAAATATCCGGCCCGTACATCCAACATTATAAAACCTAAAATTTTACATGTACATTTTCAATTATAACACTAAACGCACCTACTATATCATGAAGTCGACAAAGAGACAATCAGTCTTAATACGGTTTAAAGCATCTTATCCTAAAGCATCCATTATCCATAAAGATAGAATGTAGTATAATCCTAACCATTATTATCTTACTATAATACATCTACTAAATAATAACTAACTAAGATAATCTTATTAACACGAGGAAAAAAATGAAAGAGTGAATGGAGAATTGAAGAAATTAGGTCTGATTTGGGTGGTCATCCATTTACATTTCTAGTATTTATTTTCTTGAGTTACCCTCACTATTATTGATATGTTATAAGTTAATCAATGTATTTTTATATGTGAAGAAATGCTCCTGATGAAGCAGGTATGAGTATGGGTATGGGACGGGGAGGCTAAATCAATACCTACCCCATACCTATCAAACATTTTGCGAGTTTTATCCATACCCGCCTCATAACCAATCAAAGCGAGAATACTTCGTGATGATTGAATCGGAGGTGATCGAATATTCAGTCCACGACCATAAGTTTGATTGTCATCCCTAGTCCCATCCAAAATTTATTCACTTTATGTCATATCCTTGGATCGAAAAAACCATAATGGGAAATAGCACCAAACTAACAAAAAAAACTGAAGGATGTGTCCTCTCTCGCTCCCTGTTACTCCAATCATTCTCTGGGAACCATAATATATTGGGAAAAATGCTCCGGTGAAATCGCATCAAAAAAATTAAGAGGTGGTTTGGAGGTTGGAATTTTAGGGTGATGTGTTTAGACAATTCATATAATCAAGAGAATTTTTCTTTTTGTTTTATTTTTAAAACAATATATTCATTTAACTTTTGATAGGACAACTGCAATAATTATGAATAGTTTATTATGAATGATTGTCAATCTGAGCCAAAAGATGAGATCTTTTTGAGACAATGTAGACCAATCTTTTTATTTCATTTTTGTCTCTAATAATTGTTATATATTCCAGTTATACCCTTATCTTTTTTATAGGCAGGCAAAAGGAATTAATGAAGGGTAATTGTGTCTTTCATCACTAATAATGTCATTCTTAGCAGAGACACCGGGTATATATTCATCTACTGATTCTCCAAGTACACTCATTTCCGTTTCCAACGTTCGATAAGAATATCCTTATGGGTGGTTTGAATTTAGTATTTTTCAAACTTGTTATTTGGACTCAATCATCACACAAAATCGCATACCATACATGTTATTTTTTATACGGTATTTGTATAAAATATCACATTTTGATGAATTATAAGTGCTGGTATTATCGATATAGATAGTATTCGTGATCAGATTTGTTATGTTAAAAATTTATGCTTCTTAACATATATGAAACAAAACAACAAATATACACCATCTCTTTCTCGCGTTTTCATCGATATGGATTTTTTTTTATCTTCAATCTCGATTTATTGGAATAAAATACAGGTGTTTTAATGAAAGATTGTGATTGTCATTTTAGCGAGCAAGTGAAGATTTACACGACAAGAAGCGATCGTATTAGAGTAAAAATAATTTCGATTTCACGATAAGAAGTGATAAAATGTGTGAATTTACACGACAAGAAGATTGACACACTTTTGATATATATTGAGTTTGAGTGTATAGTATGATAATCATTTTGATCATTTGATCGAAGCCAAAATAATCTTAGGGGTCGTTTGGAAGTTGCAATTGTTAGTGTTATATTTGTTAAATACATGCATTGTCCACAATACAATGTTTGGAAGTGTCAAGTTGCAAAACAATGCATGTATTGTTTTGTGTGGGTCCCACCAACAATCAACAAAAATGAGGGATTAGTTGAGATTGTTGTGATTGTTGGTTTAATAATTGAGCACATTTACTTTTTCCAATTATGTCCATAGTTCTTTTTGTTTTATATTAAAAGTGGAGGAGAAATTTGACATTTCCTTATAAAGTAACTTTATAACAATCAATTCATAAATTATAATCTCAACAACCAAACAATGTAATTTCAAAATGCATCTATTGTATCAATGCATGAATTTATATCATAGTGATTCATAACAATACAACGATTTAACATACGCAACTTCCAAACGACCCATTAGTTTCATGAGAAGTGACAACATGTGTGAATTTACACGAGAGTCATTAAGTTTTACCTTGTATTTTAGGTATTTGTGAAACTTGATTGGTGCAAGAAAATTCATCTAGTGATTACTATATGAATATAGTTATGACTGAACATGCATAAACTAGCTATAATTCTAAACACTACGTCATATTTAATATTATTGACCATTAAAGTTTAAAATTTGATATGTAGAGTGTAACTTTGGACTAAAACATACCATGTAAAACACTTTGAAACAACTAGATTGCTAAGTGTTGTCCTAACTTTAATAAGTAATTATCTATCATTAGACATGGAAACTTCCAACCAAACAACCCCACCCCGCCATCCGTCGTGCCACTCGGCTCTGCCCGGTCGTCCACCTCTGCTCCCTTCCTATCCCACGCCTTCGACCACCGTCGCACCAATTTTTCATTTTTTTTATAATGGTGATGATATATTACTGAAACTTAAAAGAGAATCCAACAATGTACACAACAATCCAAGCTGGGATCACAGGGAGTGATCACAAGCAGAACAACAGAAAAGGAAAAACAAGAAGAGAAAAAACAGCGCAAGTGCTAGAAGGACCAGACCTCCCCTGCACGCAACAGCCAGGGAACCTCGACAAATCCGACCAACAGATAGGCCAGGAAAACAGCATGACAAGAATCCCAAAACAACCAAAAAACAATGAAGACCGAAGAAAGCAACATTAGACGGGAACAGGATCAACATCTAACACTGCGCAAAAATCCGACCATCGATGCACCAATACAGCTCGACTCCTTTTTACACAACAAAAATTGTTTTTTTTTAATGAATGTGTGCTCAATTTTATTCACCAAAACAGTGGAGGGTCCATAAGTCGTGGACTAGCTTTGGAGGTACAAAAATTAAAATAGATATGAAGAGATTAAGTGCAAACACTAGATGGAGAGGTAGAGATAAATAGAGTGGGAGAGAATTCCAACAACAAAGTGTGTGCTCAGGGAGGGTTGAATGAGTACGGGGAAGCTTAGATCCTTATATTCTCTCTGGCTGAGCTGCTCTTTCAATCATTCAATCCCGACTACCTAGAGAAGAAGACCAGAGGAAGAGGCTGAAGACACGCGACCGAAATCTATTTTCAATTTGGCCTTGGACTGACTAAAGTTTAACTTTGATTTGACTATCGAATACGGAACCAAAACCTATTGGGTGTGCCTACGGTGACATGCATGTCACGGTGACTTGCACTTTCCGGTCGACCTCAGTTAGGATTAGGTCGACCGAATTCTAAATTTGGTCGACCTCATATAGGATTTGGTCGACCTCATTTAGGATTCGGTCGACCTCATATAGGATCAGGTCGACCTAATCTGTTGTTTCAATGTAAAAACAGTTCATGGTGCCTACTTTGGATATTCATATCATACAATTAGCTAGATGGAAATTGAAGACTAATGACTTGTTTTGAAGCTG